ACATGTTCCTTCAAATTGTTTCATCTCTTCCTCTTTAGTCTGGTTTCCTGATGTACCATCTTGCTGTAAATCTACCTCCACCATCACCCCTTCTCTTTCTTCCCACCTGCCCCAAACAGGTGGCCCCAAACACCCACTGGACAAATTCAAATAATTTGACAGAATAAAAGAAGCCCACCTCCATGGGTTACCCGTGTGTTGCTTGTTTTCACACCTGTAGTATTTCTTGCTTGATCTTACAGCTGTGGTAGGCAAAACAGCATGGTAAATCTGGTATTCCTATGGTCTTGTCAGTAGGAGGGTCAAAAATGAGCCTCAGAATACGTTACATATGAACACTGACTTGGTAGACCTGAGATGGGCAGAGAGTTTCAAAGAACAAATCCTGACTTGCGAGGTTTCCCCTTCTTCTGCAGACAGAATCAGTCTCAGAGTAATGAAGCAGCCAAGCCCTCAGCTGGTACACAACAAGACTTACACCATAGTGTTTACTCCACTAAAGCAGAGCACTCTGCAGCTCATTAAATCTGAACCACTACCTCTTTTGAAGTGATTAAGTCTGACTGTGCTTGTGGATTTCTACCAAAGGTCAGCACCCAATGCATTAGTGCATGTGAAAGAAGAACAAAGACCACTCCATACTTAGCTTTTTATCTCTATGCAATGGCAGATCACGCGTATCAATGTGGTATTAGTGACAGAGAAGGCTTGTTCAAATTTTCTGAGCATCCAGGGGTTGATTTGGACTTGGGATCATTTTATTGTGAGCTTGTTTGTCCATATTCAGAGGACATGACATAAGCTTCTCAGAGCATTAGATACCTCAAGTATCTCTCAAATGTTTTGTTTAATACACAATTAAACATAAATAAATAATAAGATGTATACCCTTTTCTTGTCCTCCTCATTCCTTCCTGAAAGGGAAGACTCTCCAGTCTACCCTCTGTATCAGCGGAGAATCATCCTTGTAGGGAAAAACAACACGTAATCAATTAAAAAGACAAAGGAGCCATGCACTGCGTTCAATCTGGACTGCCAGAAATTTGCCTGGGGAAGCTGCTTTCTTATTTACTGAATGCTTGATTACTTGAGCAGTGGCCTTCCAAGAGAGGCATAATTGCCAGGCAGGGGATGGAGTTCCCACCCTGGATCAGCCGATCAGCCCTTTTAACCTAACAACATGTTTCTGTCAGTAGCAGGGTTGGCAACCTCCAGAGCACAAGTGAAATCAACCTCTTTGCAACATTTTCTGAGTTTCCTTAGCCACAGTGTGACATTTCTTCTGCATACCAATTGAGATAGCAGGCGTACTGGTAGTTTCTTTTTCTCAACTAGTATAGGTGCTGAATTATGTTTATTCATGTCAAGCTCTGATCTTTTTATTTTCTTTTTTTTTTTCCTTTTTTTTTTTCTTTCCTACTTATCTATTCCTTAGCCTTCCTAAGAAATTTGCCTGAAAAATATCACATGAGAAAGCTAGTCTGTTGTAGACAGACAGTAATGCCATGTGAGAAGGAAATACAGCATCCTGAAAAACGAGACAGAAATTAACCAAATGCATAATTCTTTCTAAAAGCCCAGCAAATAATTGTTTAAAAAGACATGTCCAACAAACTTTAAAATAATAATGATAATAACAATAATAATAATCCTACTACCCAACCAATAAGAGCAATTAGTAAAACTGCAACGTATTACCTAGAGAGAAAGGAAAAAAATACAAAGTTTAATTTGCTGGTCTTCAGACATAGGGATGCTGGGCATGATGTAACATCAGCCAGAAGAAATATGAGCTTTTATGTGCAAAAAGACAGCAGGAGATGAGAAAGCAGCTCCTCTGATGGATTTTCTGATTGCACTGAGCCCCCCAGAATGTTAAGATGGGTAGTTTTATTGTTTTGCCCACTATCTTGGCCAGAGATTTAATGGATATCATTTACAGAGATGATAGGATATTTAATTTCCAGAACAAGTTCCTTTTGACTCACTCTTTTTTTCTTTCATCTTAAGCTTGTATCTAATCTTGACCATCAATACCAGTATATAGAAGAGCTCTTTCTACAACCTGGTATATGAAAAAAATCCCAGTAATGAACTTTAGAGGGTATTAAAGTGTCTCAGTTATTCTCCAGTGAAATTCATGCCTCCTAAGTCCTTAACGTGATGGCTAAAGGCTATGTGACACTTCAAGAGATGTTTTTCTACCCTAGTTTCCTCAAAAAATAAACAGTTCTTGTGCAGCTATATGCAACCATACCAATAACTGCCCAGACATCACCCAGAGAGGCCATCATATTCCTTTGAGTTAACTCGAAACTGCTGTTCACTGAACATCGTAACATTAAACAACATCTAAAAAACATCAAGGAAAATTAAGAGTGAAATGGTGTTAAACAATGATCAGATACATTACCAAAGATTGTCTGCTTGTCCAAACATTTTCACACGTGGAAGAGGAGGCAGATAAATAATATGAAAAAATATAAATAAATAAAAATAAAAATAAAAATAAAAATAAAAATAAAAATAAAAATAAAAATAAAAATAAAAATAAAAATAAAAATAAAAGTGTTAGACTTGTGTTAATGATGATAAGCAGGAGATATACATCATTATTACATGATTTTCCCAGGGTTATCTACTGACAGTCAGTGGGAAAAGTAGCAACCATCCTGAAATTTCCTAAAAAACAGTATAAAGTTGGAGTCTTTTTCCTCACTTGTGTCTAGTTTTCCATTCCAAGATGGATTTATCTGAATGAATTGCAGATCTAGCTAGCACATTGCCACATGACTCCCAAATCTGGTTCTGCAGTTTGAAGTGGGTTCCTCTAGCAGCTTGTACACAGCTAAGAGCTGAGAAGAAGGAAAGAAAAAAAAAAATCTTCCTTTTCCCCTCATTTCTAATTCTGTGGAGGTCTGAGCTGAAGACTCCAGAAATTTGGTGCCTCTGCCTGCCAAGAAGAAAAGCAGAGCAGGGATAGCAGCAGAATTTTCTTTTTGTGTTCAGCTAAGAGCCACCTGAATTGAGCATTTCCTTAGCTTCTGCAGGGGAAGGATGTCCCAGTCAGCACTGGCTTCCAGTGATACCAGTTCAAGTGACAAGCCTGATAATAATAAGTTGGCTTGGATGGATCAAGCATATTTGAAACTCAGGACAAGACCTAGCACATTACCCCAGCAAACATCCTGAACCCAAGTGTCTTGCTCATCACCTTGAAGCTGAGCTACAGGCGGGTGATATCCTTCACCAGGGACATGGGATGTGCAATATCTTAGGCTTACAACCCCAAACGGAGACATATTCATTTCTCTACTCCCTATGCCTAGTAACCGAAGGGATAATAGTGTGTTCTTCATTACTGGAAGTGAAGGTGAATGTAGAAAAAAAACTATAATGTGATCCATAGCTGAGGTGCAGGGAAAGGAGAACGGGACAGTCATGAATGCATAGTGCTGCTGCGTGCTGATTGCTAGACTGGGGCCTCTAATAAACTCTCTACCCCAACATCTCTGATGGGTAAGCTGTCATCAACTGCAAATGCCAGATATTAAGACCAGTGGTTGGTTGCTTCCAACTTTAGCACTGGAAGAGCAATGCTGAAGCAGAACAGAGCAGGGCAGAGTTTCCCTGGAATGGGAAAATAGATAAATAAATAAAAATTTGAGTTTCTCCTTTCAGCACTTTTGACTGGAGCAGATAAAGAGATGGAGATCTCGAGGGCTGCTTTCATTAAGAGAGGAAATATGACATCTCAGCATCATGTTAAAATCACCCACTCGTTTCTCAGTGAGGAATGCCTTGTGTGTTGGGTGGTTTAAACCAACTCTATCACTACAGAGATTTAATAGCCTTGTTTCTCAGACCCTCTATAGATTTGCAGCACGATGATGCGTTGCAAAAATGTAGATCACCAAAACATATTATTAGTGATGTATTTAATGACAAACTATCTGCTCAGCTGAATGAACCACTCTACTAAATGTCTCTCTTGCTGCATAATTTGGATTTTTTTTTTAATTACTATCAAATGGTGTTTCCTTGTGTAATCTGAATACTTAGCTCTCTTCATTCCATCTTCATTGCTATCTCAGCAAGAAACTGAAAGGGTAAGAACAAAACAAAACAAAGTATATTTTTTTTCTGGACCATCTCAGGCTAGAATGTCCTCTGCAAAAATGTGCTTGCTAAAGTCCAGGTTCAGGAACTTGGTATCACACAATAGTGAGGTGACATAACCAACTGATTTTTTCCTTTTTCCTAAAGGTGCTTTAATATAAATTTCTATTTTATATTTAACAAAACGCTCCGTTGGTTTTGGCTGCTCTCTTCCCTTCCATTTTCCCACAAGCAAAAAAAAAAAAAAAAAAAAAAAAAAAAAGGACATGTTTTTTATATCATGTTATCTTCTGGATTCATAATAAGCCTTATTTTGTCAGCAAAGTATAACGAGCAAGCACATTTTGCAGATGGTATAATTTGAGGAATGCCTCTCAATTCCTCCTTCAGCATGTTCAGCATGTAAGATCTTCTCTGAAGCAGACTGTCCCACTCCCACTCTTGGATTTCAAGAGGGTTTAGTCTTATTACTACTCTAGCTAGCAGAAAACACTGAAATAGATTTTTTTTATATTATTGAAAAGAGTTGCTTCAAAATGTAAACATTTAGATAAATCACACTCATTTCAGTGACATTTTCCATTTTGTTATGAAAAAGCATTTCCACTAGCAATGTAATGAAGATTTTTGCAGCTTATTTTACTTTTAAAAAGCTGTGCGTTTTCACTTACTTTGGAAAGGTTTTCTCACTTTTTAACTTCATGCCACCTGTTTTTTGCAATGGAAATTCAAGAAAAGAGAGTGGAATGAAAGTGGAATTTTTTACATTTTAGCAATGCTACTGCTTTCACATTTTTTTATTTTTATTTTTTTTTTAAGGGAAGGACAAGGAATGATTAAAAATTTAAGTCAAAATTAATATCATGGCTTACTTTTTCCCTTTTTAAAAAAGCTAAAATATTTCAATCAGATTCTTTAGAAAATGTCTTATTCTGTTTGCTTCTTCTTGCCTGAAGTCCTAAAGGCGACTACACTTAAACAATGCATGATCACGCAGCGTTTACTTTATTGTATTCTATTTTTTCTTTCTTCTATGTTCATGTGCTCTTCCTTAATAATTCATACAGCCAGCAGACAATTTCAACTTAATTTGTCAGGATGGAGAATTCCTAAAATTCTGCTTTCAGTAGAATATGTGACTTGAAAAAAAAAAAAAGATAAAAGAGAGAAGGTGTGAGATGGGTCATACCTTCTCAACCCTGACTTGATATCAGAGCATCTGTGTTTATTCTAAGACCTGAGACAGTTTTCTTCATGAAACCAAGGGTGAGTTCATCTGATTCGGTGTGTGTGTTTCTGATGAAGGTATTTCCACGTGAAAATGTCACTGGAGGCTCCTTTCTCAGCCTCTGGTGAGCAAGTCAAAGAGACCTGTGAAATCTGGGCATAATCACCACTCTACACCTGCCTTGGGTGTGTTGTATCAATGTCCAGTGCTCTGCAGGCTTATTGCCCAGAAGTTATTAATACTGGGAGCCCAGAGTGACTTGCTGAGATGCAGAAATACAGAGATCTAAAATTAGGTGATACAAACCCAGCCCTGGTCTTTTTGCAATTGTTGATCTCCTTTTGGAGGCATTGCAGGAAGCAATGCCTAGAGGTAGCTTCGACTTCAAAAACTCATGCTTTCTAGCAAAACATCTAAACAAAACACCCCTAGATGACTAATGCATTTCTGTAATTGTGTCTTTCAGCTATTCCTTTGATGTTTTGTCCCTTAAATGAAAGTGAAGGAAAGAAATTCAGTCCCTTCTTCTCCCAGCTTTTCCTTTTCTCTGACTCACGACAATGGTGGAGAAGTTTTGATATCAGAGTCCAGCCCCGTGGAAGCAGAGTGCTGTCACAGATGCAGGCTGCCTTTGAAAGTGAGTCAGGTGGGAGTAGGAGGCATGTGATTGTTAAAAGATAATGAGAGAGACACTCCCAATTAGTAGGTAGCCCACTCTGCAGTCAGCTGTGATAGGAACAGAGGAAGAGGAAACAGCGTCAGAGAGATGATGCAGCAGGAGTCGTTATTACTACCTGGGTACCTCAAGAGCTAATTAAACCCACAGTTTCTCTTGTGTGGCATTATCATATGAATGAGACAGAAAGAGAAAATTACGAGGGCGAGCTGGCTTCATAATGAGAACTACTTCAGCTGTCAGCAGTACATCCGCACTGAGAGGGGTCCAGGGAAGGGTGTAGGTGAATATCCTCACAGCTCCTCCAGTCATCCCCAGTTCTGTGCTAAGTGATGTATTGACATCTGGAGCCATAAGAACCCTTTAATTAGGCTTTTGTCTGTCATTCTTCTCTTGGCAATCTCAGCAGTGTTATGTCATCTTATGTTCCTTGAGGTTTCCAGAGGCACTTACCTTACACTCTTCTAACTGTATATTGCAGGTATAAATGGACAAATGAATGCACCTGAGAACTGAAACAAAAAAAAAAAAAAAAAGTGTGGCAAAAATATTGCTTCCTCTATCACTACTGTTACCTTCCATGGAGAATAAAATTAAAAATAAAATAAAATATTAAAAAGAATGAAAAAAGGAAAAAGGTAAAATGGTAAAACAGCACACCAGGTAGTTCTAAAGTATTCCTTTGACTCAGAGTGAAGTGCTGATTATCTTCATGTTACTTAAATTAAGAAAAGTTGGACCATTTATTTTATAGGGAGGTCAATTAAAAAGAAAAAAAAAAAAAAGTTATTTTGAAATTAAGGGTGAAAAGGTTTAATTTAGAAAATGTCAAAATAAAGGAGTTTGGTATTTCCAAAATGAAACATTTCACTTAGAAAATGTCAAAGGAAAATGCATTGACATTTAAAAAATTATTCCCACATTAATGTTTAACAATTTTTGGCTTAAACTCCTGCTCAAATCAACCTAATTCTGGAAAGACTTTGTTTTAATTTAAAAAAATCATGTCTGTTTAGTGTTACTATTTACTGAAATAATAATAATAATAATAATAATAATATCAACAACAATAAAAGAATATCCAATGTTCACTCTGGGTGTGTTTACAGACAGTTTTATGAACGTCTACCAAAGATTTGATCTGCTGGTATTCAGGCTAAGGCCAAACAGACCTGTAGCATTCAAGCTTGTTGGCCAATTCAGAATATTCGGTAATTATTAATTCAGATCATTACCAAAGTCAGTCTTGCTTTCTTACTTGTGATAACCAATTACCTTCTGATACATATGCATTAAATATGTCATTTCAATGCCAAAATGTCACCTGGACTAGAGTCTTGACAGAACTGCCATAAGAAGTATATAAGGAGTATATCTGGAATACATAAGGAGTATAACCTCTCATTACAAATGCCTATTGCTCTCAATGACAGAAATATATAATCTAATTTATTTCTAAAAACAATGCTATAATAGGCAGCAGATTCTCTATGGATAGTCTTGGGGATTACAGACTGGTAAGTGTGACTCCATAGCAAGCAACTAGAGTCTATAATTAAGAACAAGACCACTAAATGGTATGGTAAATATTGACTGCCAGGGTAATACTTTACTGGAAATCCAGTGGGAAAACTATGTTTTGACTTCCAAAAAGTTTTCACATCAATTAAGAAAATAAGATGACACATGAATCAAGAAAATATTTCATGGACTAATACCTATTTATAAGGAAAAGCAGGGCTGACTGGTCACTTTGCAGGATACAGAAGATGGGGATGAAATGCCATGGTGATGATCTCCAGAGAGACCTCATAGGACTGCAAGAATCATCAGAAAGGTGGCAGTAAATCAGAAAGGTGCAAGTAAATGTTACATACCCAGGGAAAAAAAATCCATATCATACATGCATGCTTCTGTACTCAAAGCTATCAGTTAACACTCAGGAATTATATCCTGGAGTCCTCATTGGAAGTTCTCTGAAACCACTGTTCCAGAGTGTTACAGCAACATTTTTTTTTACCTTTATCAGAAATGGTTTTGAAAAAAAGATGTCCTCAAGGGAGTCATTCTGTTGTTACACAAAACTTCAGTGCACCCACATATTGAGTAAGATGTATAGTTCTGGTCTCTGCTTCTCAGGAAGGCCTCAGTGGAGGTAAGATAAGGTCCAGATAAAATTAATTAAGATAATCAAGAGTGTGGCACAGCTGTCTTTAAAGGAGAGACTGAAAAGAGTCCAGAGACCCACCCGTCCAGAGCAAAGAAAGCTGGGGAGGTGGAGGATGAGATTAATGTTTATAAAATCATGAAGGTAACTGATAAATCAAACAAGGAAGAGCTTTTTCAATAAAATTAGAAGAAGATCAGAAAACAGGCCATCTTGCTTGCTAACCCAGCAGACAGAAAGTGGGTGTTGTTGCTGTATAAGGAAATGGGGCCAGGCAAGAAAAGCATGTTGAAAATAAACTAAACAAATTCAAGGGCAATAGTTACTCAAAACAGATACCAGAAAGGAATTGGCCAACAAGATTTCCCTTTTACCAATTTGAATATATCTTATTTTTAAAACATTATTTCATCTGAGCACTCTAGCGACCCAGTTATAACAATGGAAATATTATAAACACATGAGTAACAAGTGTATTCAATTATTCTCCATGGTTATAAGCAGACAGCTTGAATCAGGAACAATTGGCCAAATATGTATTAAGCCATTTATAAGTCATTATTATTTCAGGTAAATTATTTATAAATACCAGAATAAATGACCTAGATTTCAGTGCCCCTGCATTGATTTTATACTTTGTGGGTTTAAAATCGGGAAACAGTAGATTCATGAAAAGTTCATGTGGATTTTCTTGAATTGGATTATCTGTTATGGAAGCAACCTGCAAAATTTCAGTGTTTCTGTGGTGGCTTTATCATTTTGGAAGTTTAATTCTGCTGAAAACTTCCCTAACAATTAATCCCATTTACATCAGGTACCTTTTACTAAAATAAATAAATAAATTGACACAGGGAAATTAAAATATATATATATATATATAATTATTCAAATGAGTTTTCCAAGTGGGTTAATGACTCCACACAAACCCACTGTGTGACCCTTTCCTCACCATCTCTGGAGGTAATTCATATAACGAAGACACTCCATCCTTTTCCATGTGATCATCATGTATTTCCTCCAATGGACAATCACTTCTGCTTGAGTCTGATTGCTACCATAGGGAGCCCAGACCTCTGGTGTAATTAGCACAAATTCTTCTGTGTCTCTGCATGGACTGGATTTCAGTTAAGAACCATCTCAGATAGATTTTAGATTGGGCCCTATGACAGATTTTGTTGTTGCATGCAACCTCCATCACTTGTTCTCAAACGAAGTGGGCTCAGCTGAAGTCTTCTCAATTCAATCTGAAAGAGGATTAAACTAAAATAAATCAGGTCAGCTTTCACTCTGAATAAGGGCATGTCCACCTGCTCGTTCAATATGTTTAAAGACTTCCAAGTCACACTTCCATCTGAACTCCTGATGGCGCCTCCTATACAAGCCTATGAATATTTATATCTTGCTGAAGCTCATACAGATTCCTTATGGCAATTTCATCAACAGTAGGCATGGGACCTTTCCTCTTTCATTTCAATATACATTTTTTGTGTGAGTGTGCCTCGCTCTTCATCTAACTTATGTTACAGACAGATGCGCTTCCAGATGGCACAGGCTTGCCTGGGTCAGGCATCCAAATGCGATAGTGGCAGCAACACTTCCAGTGCCCCCACAATGACAGGAGCAGATGTTTGGCATAGTTGCACACCAAGAGGTGACACAGCATGAATCTCCTCTCCTCTTCTCTGGGCATTATTGACAAAAATAGATGCAAAGACCATGCATTCTGGTCTGTCTGGGGATGACTGAGCTATCTGTGAATCGCTTCATATATGAGCCAATGTTGAGGTGGAAGAAGAGACTTCAACGGCATGCAACTTTTTGACATTATCTCCTCTTGGAGGAGTCACTCCTTTTTCTTGTTCATGTTGAGAGCATAATGAAGTAATCAGTAATAAACTAGAAGGCAATTAAAGGGTGGTGGTTGTATAGAGAAGTGCATTAATGTTTTGTCCATATTGTGCCTGGGGAGGTATATCAAGTCTGCAGGTCGGTTAGGATGGAGAAGAACAAATTGTGCAGCCTGCTAACACTGCAAACTTCACACATCCCAGATGGCAACAAGGATCCTGAAGCAACTCTTCAGAGATTATAAATCAGCATAAATATTGCTGCTTACCTCCCACCAGGGATGCGGCCTACCATGTGCTGGCCTGTGCTTATGGTACCCCAAAGAGGCTGCAAAGGTTATCATGGTGAAACTCATCTTCTGCAACAACCCCAGGGACTCGAACAAAATCACATGCTTGGACAAGCCAGGATTTAAAGTAAAGGTCAAACAGAAGCCATAAGGTGTTACTATAAAGCAGGTATTTTGTTGTTCATCTCCTGCATTAGCAACACGGAGAGTATGGACCGTGTACCAAGGCTATCCCCACATTTCTTCTCTGAGTATTTTGCTAGCCTCACATTAAAAACCTCTCCCAGAGTCCCAGAGTCTCTTTCTGGGGCCCTCCCCTTGGTTTCATTCAGATGCGGAATCAGGATATCATCAAAATGCACGGACTGGGCTAGGAGTACAGCACAGGTGCTGACAGAAGAAACATCCCTCAGGCAAAAAAAAAAAAGTTCAGCCTTCCCCTGAAGGATGTCTGTTTTCAGCTGTGTCTCCTTGGTTATTCAGCATTAGCAAATTAAAAAGCCCAGAACTCTTCTCTGGCCCTAAGTCTAACTAGGATGGCACAGCCCACACTCTTTCCCATAAAACAGAGTGGATTCATCCAAAATATCTTTCAGGAAAGGTTTCCAGTTTGTTTCAACTCCTGAACTATATCTTGGTAGTCCTCAAGAGAGGGCAATTAGACCCAGACTAGATCTACATCAGTGAACATCTTAAGAGTTAAAATGCTGTGGAAGAATGTAGAACATTGCTTTATCCTGTGCCACGGCCTGTATACTTATCTGGTGTCAGTACAGCCATTTAGTCCAGTTACACCCCATTTATCAAGCTATAATATCTGTTCAGGGGTTTTACCAAGCGTGGATTTTATTCTGCCCCCGTGATTAACACCAGTCAATGTGACACACATCCCTCCATTAGCTGACACTGTCCAAACAAAACAGTTTTGAAAATCTCCCATTGCTTCCTGTAAACCAAGACTATGCCCATCCATGCCCTTTTTATAAATCCCTAGCTGTAGTGATATTAATATTTTATATTTGATAATCAATACGTACAAACATGTTTTAAAACAGGGTGCCTAGGATGGCCACAGTTGTGAAACTGAGACCACATGGATGAATGGTTTCCTCCACATACCACAAAGCAATATTAGAAAATGAAGGTAGCCCAAAGTCAGGGACAACTAATTTGTGTTCCAGTACTTCACTGTATTATAACATATTGCAAATGAAAACTTCTGGTTCAGAAATAATGAATCATTTCACTTGGATCCTTTCAACACCTTTAAATTTTATGAGGTTTTTTAATTTCAAATGATACTGGTCCTTTATAAACTACCATGAAGAAAAAAGGAGTGAGGTTAAGTAGAGGAGTTAAAAAAATAAAATAAAAAAAAAATATGAAACAACAATAATTTGGAGATGAGAGAAAGCATTTTAGACTGACACGAGCTTTTTTTTTTCTTCATTGGTCAAGTTTGCTTTGCTCGTTTTTGTTTTGCTTTCGCCTGTACCCATGGCTCTCTACCTTTGTTGTATCTCAAGACTTTTTTTTTTTTTTCCCTTTCCTTGATCTCTTCCTTCTTCCTTTGCAAGTTATTTTCTCTCCCAGAACTTTTCTTCATTGTTATTTTCTTGTTCCTTCCCATCCAATTAGTTTCCCACTGCATCTAGTCTTCTCCTTCATCCTCACATATCCCAAATCTCTGTTGCCTCTCAAGCCCTTTCCCAGTCTATGAGACTTTCATAAAATCGATTGGGTTGGAAGGGACCTTCAAGATCATCTAATTCCAGCTTCCAACCCTCCTGCCATGAGCAGGGACACCTACCACTAGAAATGGTGCCCACTTTCATTTGAAACCTGCTCCTTATAGTGGCGAGTGTGGCCAAGCCTTTGCCAGCCTGGTGAAAACTCAGATCTGCAACCCCCACACACTTGTGCCATGGTTCCAACCCCATAGTTTCAGGCAGATGCACCTGAGGATTGTGCATTGGCTGACATGAGGAGTGTTAATGTGGACATGAAGTGAGCATCTCACAAAGAGAAGATGCAAACAGTGCATCTGTGATTTTCTCATTACAACTGGAACGTCTACTCCCCTGATCAGTGCAGGTTGTTGGAAACAAACGCCTGATCTCCTGACTCAGCCACTGGTAAAAACACTTTTCAGCCTGTTTTAGGCAAATGAGCAAGGTGTTATCATTTTCAATACATGTATTACCACATCGGAAGATGCAGGGCTCCCCTGACAGCAGTTTTTAGGAGGCCATATGAAGGTCAGCATAATCATCTCTCTGCATTTGATGTCTTGGCAAGCTGAGGGGAAGTGGCTTGTCCAAGGTCTCTCCAAACAGCAATAGCAGTACTAAGAATAAAACCCAGATCTCCTGAGTCTATGCCTGTTGTAACAGCTTTCAGAAAATATCACAACTGCATCATGCTCCAACTGTTGGAAATAGCATTGCCACCTGAGCAGCATCACTCCATGAAAGAAAGATGCCTCCTTGACATCAACTATCCAGCTGAGGACAAAGAGACGTACATTATTACTGTAGCATGGAATATAAGATTTGAGTCCCAACATGTATTTGTGTGTTTCTATAAAATATATACTTGTGCATGCCTAAATCTCTAAGTAAAGATTGCACATGTAGAAACCTGCACCTAAAGCTAAGACTGAACAACACTAAACTTAAGTGACATAAAAATTTTGGATTACTGATCTATGTTGCTGCAATGAAGTCATTGGTAATACAGATACTTTTTTCTTTTCTTTTCTTTTCTTTTCTTTTCTTTTCTTTTCTTTTCTTTTCTTTTCTTTTCTTTTCTTTTCTTTTCTTTTCTTTTCTTTTCTTTTCTTTTCTTTTCTTTTCTTT